CCATTACGAAATTACCTAACTTATTAACTTTACTTAACCTACGTTATTTACTAGTTACTAAAATTAATAATTAGAAATTTACGTAGACTAGACTAAAGGTACACAACCTACGTCCTTGAAATCTTGGTTCAAAAGAAAGAGATGGTGTCCTAAAAAATTTAAATGGCTAAGAAAACCAATTGGGGGACATTTGAGCTTTTGATTGGTTATTCATGTCATATATAGAAGTAAGTGTAAATAAGGGAGCATTTCTAAAAATGGAAAGAGGTGGGCAAGGTGACACTGTGTTTGATTCATTACATGAGCAGTATCTTAGCAAATAGAAAAGATAAGAGGTTCTTATTTTATATTCTAGCTTGTCAGTATTGGTAATTTGTACAAAACTACAGACTTTGTATTTTGACATCACAAACATCTAATTTGAGCCAGTGCTGCATCCAACATACCACGTGACACACAAAAATCGATGTTTCTGTTATTTTTAACATTTACTTTTAAATTAAGAAATTAAATAATGAATAATACTAAAATTTGAATTATGATCTACAGTTTGATACCAAACTTATTAATTTAAAAGTTGTAGCATGAAAACTATAATAAGCACAAAATAGTTACGAAGTCAGTCCCAGGGACCGAGCCCGTGCTGAAAGAGTTAAACCACCCACTCCACAATATATCCACTTTTCACACTCACTAGCTTACATTAATTTCCCCACTCCACAATTCTATCCAATAAACTACCCCAATCAATAGACTAGCTACTTATCTTCCTGTGTAAGGTAATATACAAAGAACTTGTGTACAGTATCATGTGGACTGATAGAAAGTAACTAACTATAATTCACAGAATACATCCAATAGCTAAGAGAGGGGTCAACCAATCAAATATTCATAAGTGATATGTTGTTTAAACAAGAAAAGTTTACATCAAATGTTTTACAACAAAGCAAAATTGTTGTTTAAAATTTATATAAACTAAAATATTCAAACCTAAACATTACTTTCTCGTTACCTAACCCAAATTCTATGGCTCAACAGAAAGAAAGAGAGCTTATGATGCTAAAATTAAGGTTCAATCCCTGTGATAGACACAGCATAGATGGCCCATTGTACAGCTTTGTACTACTTAACACTCAAATTGTTTATCCAAATTATATTACACGATAACAAAGAATAAGAAAAACCATATTTCTGCAAACTTGATTAAAACTGATTTTCAACATATCCTATGGTGTGCTTTTAATAGTGACTTAAACCACAATCGAAACACTTACTCATACTCCATTTTCTTTATCAAAATGAAGTTAATGAACTTGTAGAAAAGTAGAATTATCTCTTTCAAGGAAGTTTTTTTTTCTTACTTCTAATGTTATATAGATATATAATCAAAAACAACTTAGGTGTGAAAAAAAAGGTGTAGCCAGAAAAGGATTGAGCATGCAACGTAAAGGAATGAAATCAAAATTGATAGCCAGACTGGGCAATCCTTTTTTTCGACATACTTTTTTTCACATCTAATGTGTTTTTGATTAAATATCCAACAAACACAACAAGTAAGAAAGTGACACTTGATAGTAACCAACATTAGCTTTAGGATCACAACCTTATCATTCAGAACAGACTTATAATTTACAGAACCAACCAGATTCTTTAAAATATATGGTGGTAGTTTTCCTCTCTAAAAAAGTGTTAACTTCCTTTATAGTAACACCATGAAATCTAGATTAACAGCTTCTTGTCATCACCCACATGCAATTGGTACAGCTGTATCAAGCATCATTATTTAAGCTAATTGCTTAAACTAATATCACGTAATGCCAAACGCTCTTTAATTAGGAAAATTTCATAAGATTTAGAAAATTTGTGTTTAAAAGTTGGCAATGAATAATGAATAATAACCGTCTAACAGTGTGATTCTTTTGAAAACTTGAGCTAGAAACTGCTAACCTAGTTTGCTTGGCCTAACCAATACTTATGTATCTTCACCCTATAGATTTGCTGCTCTAAATCAACCATCCTTAATCCAAATGACAAAAAAACTAAAACGTCCACTTTTACTACTCTTATGTGAAGCTTTAATAAAAATTTCAGACCAATAGCTCATGCGACTTTTTGAGTAGGTAGCCTCAAAAAGTTTGGTCAAATTTGAGCAGTTTTTGTTCAAGAACTTTGTACATGAAGCTTATATTTAGACCAAATCTGACATCAAATTGTAGGTTGTAAAGGTCTATCAGTGTACCAAATTTGAAAAAAAAAATCATAAAAGTATGTTTTTCTATCAAAGAAAGTTTTTTACTTTCAATGCAAAGAAAAAATTCAATCAAACTGAGATTTTATATTTCGTGTATTTCTTAATTAATGGATTGTCTTGAAATTTGTTACGCAAAGTACAAATCAGTAGAGTACATCTACTGAAAATATGTAATAGTTTAGATTACCACAGTCCAAGCCACAGAAAGTGGAAAATTTCGTAAACTATCACTCCTGTTAATAACACACAATGTGTCCTGCAGGTCGTTTTGGCCACATGACACAATGCTGTGTGTCTTTACCCTTATTATTATTATTATTGTGATTGAGGATAAAATGGTAGAAATTTGTCACTTACTTCAGTTAAGCCACCCCATAGTGAGCAGGCCCATAAGATCTGAAAACAGGAAAATAATACAATTAAAAAAAACTCTGATCCAATTGGATAGCCATATCTCTGAAAAAAAAATTGTCGCTTAAAATAATTTCCCAAACCAATTGTTTGAATAAAGTTAGATGCTATAAAGTTCCTGGGTGCTTCACACATTACGGTGTACATGTTAGGACCTTACTCTACGAAAACGAATGATAAGTGAATGTGAGAAAAAGCAAAGTCCAGTTTATCAAATTATTGTTTCGTACACATCTTTGACTCTTAAATTATGATGTTTTAATATGTCAAAACTTGTATGAGAGAAAGATAAAAACAGAACACATGACGAAGAAAAACTGAGATTTACTTAATGGTGGTAACACTAAATAATCAATCCCACTTGAAGATATTAACATGCATCATGATAGCTACTTGTAAGAGTAAGTACAAGATAATTGTATTAATAATAGTTAACACCACATTACAGTTTAATGCAGCTGTAACTTAGTTATAATACACACTTAACTACCGTCATCCATGCTATGCTATGCAATGTCTAGATTTGATAAGTATATCATTCACCATGGCCATCATTAAAAAAATTTAACTTTACAATACAGTTTCACAAGTACATACTTAGCCTGGGGGGTGGCAGTGACCTCCTGGCCAACCAAGGAACCCTCGGAGTTCTTCTGAAATGCATGGGGTGCATATCGGTTGTACAGCCCCCAGATGCTGTCCATCATCTTACTATTGTATTTCGGGGGAGTAAAAGACAGGACTGAAAGATAAAAACACTTTCATCAATTTTTTGATGTCCAACAAGAGATATCGTTATCTTAATATAATAATTTAATAAGATCAAATTATATCCATGTAGTTGAAACTTTGCCAATGACAGATTGAAGTCTTATTGTCCCTTGAACATTGTCTGTTGAAATAAAACAACAACTGGAATAATTTCAGTGTGACATTATAGAAAAATGAAGCATGCCGAGACAAAAATACAACTGGAAATACGTGAAGAATGAAACATGCACTGGAGGAAGATTGGCTCAATGAAATTAGAAAATAGATTAGGGATGAGAAGCTTGAATTAAAAAGGTTTATGCAGACAGCAAGGGATAAAGAACAATGATGCACCCCCAGTCATCAACCTCAGAACTAGGAGAGATGCCATGATTGACTCAGAACCGGGAAAGATGCCATGACTAACCTGCAAGTCTTGGGCTATCTTTATCAGACTGAACAGTGAGATTTGGCCATCAACTTTATGATACAATCACAACTCCAAAGTGCTGAGCACGATATTGTTATTTTGTTTCGGTAAATGCATGAAAACAACAGACTTGCAAGTTTATGGTCCAGCACATTAATCACTGGGCCATGCTTGGCTCCATACATCTTAAAATGAAAACAATGCAGCAAGGGTATGTTCTAGATATGTCACTAAAAAGTACATGTGTATATAAATCCTTAATCCAGAGTTGAAAGATTTAACAGAATTCTTGGGTACAATGATTCCATGTACACAAAACAGCCACATGCCCTCATGCCCCCCCCCCTTTGTGTTGAATGGACATGCCAGCAAGTATAGCAATAATTGGTATAGCTAAGTAGCTATAAATAGTATAAGTAAGCCATGGCTTACATGGGCATCCAAGTTCTGAGGTACAAGGACAATGAGACCTATCTTTGTCTTTTCCAAGTTTTTGTAATAATTTGTCAGTTTTCACAAAGTTCCTACCCTTTTTCAAATTCTCTGATTTTTCCAAATTCATGGCCACCCTGACCTAAAAAGCTAACTTCTTACATATTACTTTTTTTTTAATTCTTCAGGCTTATAATATGATCTTCAAACTTACCATTTCGTAGGTCAGTATGACCTACAGTAACTCCACCTGTGATTCCTTGGAATCGACCCCTCTCCTTTTCTTGTCCTTTTTTCATGTTGTCAGTCTCCATATTTTGCTGCTTTGTCAGGTTCTCACGGACTTTCTTGGCTGTATGGGCAGCATATGGTATGGCAGCCATTCTCACTTTAACACAAAGAATAGGAAATTATTCTTGAATAAAGTAAAAAATACACAAGATGTGTTTAAAAAGTGGCCCCAAACTCTATGGATTGTTCTGTTCAATTAAATCTAGAAGATGTCATTTGACAAAGATCAACTTTTTAAAGTACCTTACCCTGCAATCCTTTAAGACCAAACTCAAATAGCAAGAACATACTACACCTGAAAATGTTGCCCACACAATACAGAAACAACAGCATTTTTTGAAATTTATTTACAATCTCCATTTATTAACAAGACTTTGGAAAACCAGCAAAAAATGCAAATTTATCATATTAAAGGCAAGTCTTTTTAAGAAACCCTGGTGGGACATTAATGACCTCAACAACATATCAGAGTATGTAAAGTAATCTTTGACAGGGGGAGTTAGAAGGACCATAGTGCATCACATGGTAACCAGATGTTCATTTTCTTTACTAAATCAGCCTATTTTTTGGACATATACTCAACAACAGGACATCAGATTTCACCTCAATGGTCCTCTTCTGAATTGTGAAGATAGTGAAGTTAATTGGTTGGCTTATTTTTATTACAAGATCATGACAAGTCAAAGGCTTGTTTGTTTATTTTAGAACAAAGCCACACTGGGTAATATGCTGAATCCACCACTCGGCAGAGTTACCACTGTTCCACAAGGGGACAAGTTAAACGAATAAATGGTATTTACACTATGTTTTTAATACAACGTAAAATAAAAGTTTTGATAAATTAATCACGTAGTATATAGAACTTTCACAATCTGTTTTTTCTTTATAGTAAAACAGAACTGTCAGAAATTAATTAAGTAAATACTCCATCCATGTTCATAAGTTTAGTTTGGTATGAATTTCTTGCAAAGCTACACGAGGGATATCTGCGCTAGCCATCCCTAATTTAGCAGTAAAAGACTAAAGGGAAGGCAGCTAGTCATCACCACCCACTGCCAGCTCTTGGGTTACTCTTTTACCAATGAATAGTGGGATTGGCCATCACATTATAATGGCTCAATGGGTGAGCTTGTTTGGCGAGACAGATTCAAACCCACGACCCACAGATTGAAAGTCGAGCACCTAAACTACCTGGCCATGCCAGGCCTCCATAAGTTTGAAAATAATATTTTGCAACAGTTATGGAGATAAAACTTAAAAGGTAATACTATTTTCTGCCACCAGAAAAAAGAGCTTATCTTTGACTGTTTAGAATTTCATGCAAGGCTACTCAAGGGCTAACTGCACCAACTATCCCTAGTTTTGAAGTGGTGAACTAGAAGGAAGGCAGCTAACCAACACTACCAACCTCAAATACTTGGGCTATTCTTTACCAACAAATAGTGAGGTTGACCACCATATCGTAACACCACCATGGCTGATAGAACAAGCATATTCAGAAATGGAACACAAACCTGTGACCCTCAGATTGCGAGTCCCATCAGAACTATATAAACAGCTTTCTTAAATGTTTCTTTGTCTTGTTTAGAGAAGAACAATTCTGCTAGTGCCATGTTTATATTTAAATAAGCAATCCAAAAACAAAAATTCAAATGTTTTATTATTATTTTTTATCTAAAACTTCCAACTGGTAAATTCTAATCACAATGATACCACTTTTTTTTTAATGCCCATGAAAGTGCTTTAGAGGAGGGGGGGCATATAAATGTGCCATTTGTTTGTTCTTAGCATACAGCTACACAGTAGGCTAGTCACATTCTGTCCTACGTGGGGAATCGAACCTTGGATTTCACTGTTTAAATCTCGTGAAGTTACCGATGACCTATAGGAAGGCATTTTTTGTATGGCACATAACTCTTGAAACAATGGTACTCTTTTGTCCAGATTTTGTGGTGGTGGCGCCCTCTGTTGATACTTATGTTTTAAAAGTCGTTAGCTAGAAGTTATCAAGTGAGAAACACTCGTCACAAAAATTTATTTGTAACTCAGCGAGTTCTAAAAAAATTGACTATCATTAATAACGCCAGATAAAGTATATTCGTGGCCACCCTCACATTGAATGATTAATAAATTAATCTCCGTGTTGTCAGGAAGAATAAATAAAAGTTGACAATGGTAAATGGTGAGAGAGATGGAACATCATATTCCTTTTTTAAAATTCGAACTAAATTAAAGTAGGTGTAGTACAACCAACTTACTCACAGTTAACCCTCGTGCACTTTGAGTTTGAAAGTGTCCTACAGGCCCGTTATTCAAAGCCACGATGAAATCTGATCGTCCACTTCAAATGTATGTGTACTGTTTGCAGGAGTGTTAAACAAACTCGTAAGAAAAGGGAACGGAGAAACGTCATTTCACCTGTCAAATGTAAACGTCAGAGTCATCCATGCTTTCATCAGCTTCTTTTGCCCGGGACTTACGTACGACTCAATTTGCCCTGACTCAGTTCCTCTTATTAATTAAGGACGTAATCAGTGCTCGCAAAGTTGCTGGGGTGACGGTGTGTATCAACACTGATTTCAAAATAGCCCACATGGATAACCTCTTACCACAAAGTTAGCGCCTGATTAAACAAACATAAAGCACGATTCGTGTTTCTAAGCCAACGTGACAATGTTCAAGTATTGATTATCAAACACGGATGTCTGTATTGTTGTTTACATCGTTTTGCTAGGTTAAACGTTAAAAAAAAAGTGTTAAATCACATACACATACGTTAAGTATACAAACAAGGACTACCTCGGATACTTTTCTCGCGTGATGACATTAGTACCTCATGTTCGCTATATAGATGTATATACAAGATTAACTAAAAACAGGGCATAGCAACAGCGACGATTTAACCTTAAAACACCCACTTCTTTCTAGTTCTTCACTACGGGTTAAGGCCACATTGCGTCATATTGAGTACTTCTATGATACTATAAAGTGAGATTGCTTGCAAGACGATTGACATGTCAAACAAAACTGTCACCAGGGGCGTGATCGTGAAATTATACGGTCAACATGCTAACAGTGTTTGATGTGACCATTGTTGATGTTCACTATTACTTTCATTCCTGATAGAACGAGATGAATAATACTGTCTGATTTCCAACAGTTTCAGTGTATGTCTTATGTGATATTTCAGGTGTATGAGGCAGCAACAAGGATGATATAAAGAGGTCTTCCAGGCCCTATGTGGCAGGCAACAAGGATGAGATCAGGGGGAAGTGCTGGTCTTGTGTGTCAGACAGCAGATAGGAGGAGATCAGGAGGATGGGCTGGTCTTGTGTGTCAGACAGCAAATAGGAGGAGATCAGGAGGATGTGCTGGTCTTGTGTGTCAGACAGCAAATAGGAGGAGATCAGGAGGATGTGCTGGTCTTGTGTGTCAGACAGCAGATAGGAGGAGATCAGGAGGATGGGCTGGTCTTGTGTGTCAGACAGCAAATATATAACTGTTCTCAATCTGAAACTGACTCCACTCGTTGTGAGCATGCCCACGTGTTATGACACTTCATAGACTCCAGGTGGCGTGACTATTACACAAATATTCTGATTAATAAACTGTAACTTTAAAAATTGTTACATTTCATTTTTTTTTACAGTAATTATTTTTTAATATTTAAAATGCTGTTTTATTGGTCAGTAATAAAAAAAACCTATTAAATTTGGGAAGTTTTGTGATCGTTTATTTAAAATAGTAGACAAAACTTAAAAACTTGAACGGCTTTGAAAGAAATCTAACAGATATTTAAGGGCCACGTCATTCAAATTATTTTTTAATAATTTAGTAATCTTCATATAGACTACATTACCGACCAATTATTTCCCATCTAGTTAACTCGTACAACGTTTGATTTTTAGGAAGGTATATCACGTGTAAAAAAAAAAAAATTAAATATGCATCTGCACGTGCAAGACAAAGGCCAATAATAGCATTCGGGAAGTTTGAATTGAGACAAATACACCAGGAAAGTCCGGGATGTATCTCGTGACACCAACAAGTACCGAGTTCTAGGAACCAGCTTCTTCCTGGTAACCGACGGCAGAGTTTTCTTTTTAAATGTTTATTTAAATACACTGTT